TATTACTTTGTGTAGGAAGGCAAAACTCACCGCAGGAAAAGGAAGAAAGCCGATCGTGGTGATGGACCCTTATCATCAGAATCTTTATCAGAATCAGATCAGACAGAGGAGGTCAGTATGAAACCTCAATTTCAGATATTATAATGCTTTTAGCTTACTGAATTGCATGAGTGAATGAATGATTTAGCTTACGTTTAATATATTGTTGAAATTGTTCTGCTCTGTACATTGGGATATAAGAGTGCAGCGCATTCAAAGTTGTTTGTATTTTTCTCCTTTGTAAAAACTTTTAGTAAGAATTGTTCAGTGGAGCTCCTACCACCTACAGGTCATTCTGAATTCATTTCCTTGAAAATTTCCAACTTTTTTATAAGTACTCAGTGAAATGAGGCTAAGTGATTGGTGTGGTGTCCTTTGCAAGATTGCTCTCTGATGTTAGTGAATACATTGACAGATTTCAAGATTGCTAAAATTCTACCTTTGTATCTCTGTTTTTTCTTATTCTGTGTATAAAAAGCACAGCGTGTTTCCAAATTGGGTGTTTATAGGATAATGCATATTCTAGAATATAATAGAAATAACCAGTGTTTCTTCATGCATTATTGTTCAGTCTGTTCTACCACTGTTGTATCATCATTCATTTATATGCAACAAAAGCTCAAACTTCTGTGTAAAGTAGCATTGCCAAAGCTCTTCTCCCATTATATTGGATTTTTTTTTCTAGGTGCAAGTGAAAAAAAAGAAAACCAATGAGGATAAAGATAAAACAGCAAGTATCCTTCTTACTCTAGTTTTATGATATAAATATTCTGTACCTGGTTAATTTCCATTTCACATTTTTCAATAATGCAGATATTTTATAGCAAAAGTCTACTGTCACATGAATCTAAATTAACAATTTCTCTACTTATGTGCTGAAGTCACTTTTTCAATTGTAAAATTAAAGGTAGAAGGTAGCACAACTAAAGGTGGCACATCAGTGCTGTTCCTCTGTTAGTGTTGGGTATAATTCTTCCTTGGTAAGCCCCTGAACCAGACCATGAAAAGGGCTTTAGGACATAATCATTGCAACATCTACATTAGTATAGTTCTTCTGCCAACCAGATAAAAAGCTGTCAGCAACCTGTTACTTTTCTCAATTTTGTTGATTTGGTGAAAGCGAGAGGAAGGTTTAGTGGTGATTTATATAGAACTCAGATTCATCACATATACCTGAAGCTCCTCAATTAGGAGTATAGTGATTTTGAGATCCTAAATGCCCACTCAAGAAGTCTGTATGTCTTTCTCTCTCCCCTGTCAGCAGCAATGTTCCTAATTAGACATCTCAGTTGTCTAGATGAGTTGGGCGAAGGGAAGGTTTACATTAGTCATCTGAAAAATATGGATAGGAGTATCAGCAATAAAACACATTTTCCATGGAACTTGTTTGTTTTTTCACAATCCTGTAAGCTGTTTGCCATAAAATTTTTAGTGATTGATTTTGATATTTTACATAGAATTGTGTGTGTAATAGGTATAAAACAAAGCTTTTATATGAGGATTGTTTTGTTTACATAATATCACACCTACTCAACAATTCCAGTTGAAATTCTGCTTGCAAAAAGACAGGATTGTGTCTCTCAGTGTCTGTATTACACTGATCAGGATAATAACCTCAGTACTGAATCCAGTAGGGTTAATTGAGTGTATTCATATTTATAATTGAGATCATAACTGTTTTAGAATTATAGAATAGTTAGGATTGGAAAAGACGTTAAGATCATCTAGCTCCAACCCCCCTGCCATGGGCAGGGACACCTCACACTAAACCATGTCACCCAAGACTCCGTCCAGCCTGACTTTGAACACTTCCAGGGATGAAGCATTTGCAACATCCTTGGGCAACCTGTTCCAGTTCAACTTTATTTTAAACAAGCTGCAAGCTCTGGAGAGTCTAGTCAAGTGTAGTTAACAGTTTAATTTTGCACAGTAAATATAAGCGCTTACTTTAAATTCTGTAAACGTTGTAGTTATTCCCACATGCATAACATGTAACTGCTTGTCAAAGCACTTCCTTATTACTTTGTCAGAAATCTATAAAGCACTGTAAAACATTTTAAAGATTAAGAAATATAACGGTGACAGTGATGAAAGGTGTGAAACAGTCAGACCATGATGGAGGTAAACTGAAGACTGTTCATATTAGTGATGATTAGTGGGTAAAATCTGAATTTTCTTTCTGTGATTTCTCAGTAGGTTTTTATAGAAATATCTTTTGAAATGTCTTTTTACAAAGATATTCTTTCTGTGTTCTCATTTTGCATTAACAGAATTAATAGATGGCAATAGTATCATACAGTAACTTCCATTTAATTTTACTATTTTTTTAGGATAAAACAAGAAAGAGAAAGAAGCACAAGAAACATGGTAAGAAGAAGAAAAAGAAGATTGCTGGTTCAAATTCAGATTCAGAATAATATTTAAAAAAAACAAGACTATCGACAGAAGTGCAATGACAAAAGGAAACAAACTGTGAAATGACAGCAAACTTTACCAAACTGCATGAGTTTTCCTGTGTTTTAGAAATACTCCCAATCTTTCAGTAGCCAGCCAGGTGCAGCTGTGCTGGGAAAGACGATTGTTATTGCCTGCTGCTTAATACATGAGGTACAACTTTTATAAAATTCCAGTAAGCAGTGTTAGATGTTTGAAACAATGTGAGATGGTAGTCCAGCTGAGGTGTAAAATATTGGAAAAGAAGAGTTAAACTTTTTAGATAGTAAAAGTAGTCTTTTAAACATTAGTAATAGTCTTTATTTGTAAATCAGGACAAATAAAATCCCGAGTTCATCCTGCAGGTTAATATCATACATAAATTGTTAGAAGCTGGTGTCTGCTAATGGCATTTACAAAATGGGAAGTTAATTATGACATTTAAAATGCTATCTTTGTAGAAATGTTTATCTGCCCCATTACTGTCTTCATGCTTACAAGAAAGGGAATGCTACCATTCTGGCTAACCGATTAGGGTGCCTTTGATCCTTGCAAATCTCTGCTATTTTTAATCCATGCTGCATCTCTGATTCTAGGGAAGCCAGAACTGTTGTTGGCAGACTTCCTCTGAATAAGTAATTCTGGGCTTCTAAGCATGTGCTTCTGCATTAAGCAAGAGCAGTGGCATTTTGCAGTTTAACTGACATTCAAAACCTGAAGATTTTACCTCTGCTCCTTTGAAATAGCGATAGATCTTTGCTAGTAAATATGCATATTTCATTTAATGTCATATTGGTTTAGTTGAACACATCTGGCAAGCACTGGTAGCTTTCTTTGCATTACCTTTTAGAATTGTTTTGCATGATTTGTACCATTTTGAAGTTAATGAAATGCCGGTATTTGTTTGTTGTAACCAGTTCTATGAATTATGTTCCACATACAGAGTTTCATGTATGTATTTAGTTACTGTTATAGTTAAGTTCATTGCTGTGTTTACGTGCACACTTGCTGAAGATATTTAGCATGTAAAAAGCAGGGTTTTGATACCTTAACAGCTTCATATTGAAGCTGATTTTACTCTAAGCAAGTTCAGTGGCAGACCTGTTGCGTGATGTGTCTTGTTAGATAAAACAAACTACTGCCAGAATCTCATTAAATATACTGTTTAAACAGTTTGTATTTATATTTTTGTACTTGAGGGCTACAGAACGTTGACCTAAATCATAAATCTGTTTAAATCAGTTGCTTTAGAAGTAAAAAAAAAAAAAAAAACAAAACCTTTTATAAATTAAATGTGCACACAAGAAAACACACCCATTCGATTTTAGTTTTTACATTAACTTCTCATTATATCCTCCACTGACATAGCCATTGCTGGGCCTACTGTTGGCCTTTTAACTGCTGCCAATCCATCCTGTGTGGTCAACTGTAGGTTGTACTCTTGATGCACCCCTTTTTCATTACACAGGTGCTAACTTAAAACTAACCTCTGTGGCATACAGATGTTTCAAATATTGTATTGCCAAGAATTTCATGACCTTTAAGACCTTGATTATATTATTAGTCTGCAACCCGTAACTAAAAACTAGGGGAGAAAGATGATTTTTGTATTGCCATTCTACAGAGAAATTTACTTAAGTTCTTGGGGAAAATACAGCCATTGAGTTGCAGCAGTGTCCTTCTAAACCATAGTAAGAATATTTTGATCAACTGTTTTATACTGTTGAGCTTGATATTACTGATTCTAGACATCATTTTGTCAGTGAGGTTAAAATAAAGGCAAGATGCAGTGAACAGTAGGGGTTTGGTTTTGGATTTGTGGTTGGTTTTGTGGGTTTGTTTTCTTTTTAAGTTGTGGTGTTGCAGTTTTGGTAGAAGAACCTGTAATGAACTATAGCATAAATGCTCTGTCCTGTGAGATACCTCATTTGACTTTTACTCAGCTACCTGCAACAGAAAGAAATAAAAATCGAAAATGAGCCCCAGGCTTCCAAATACAGAAGCTGGTATGTCATTTGAATTGTATGGATATTAACTACTTGTTCTGGTCAGCTGTGGGTTGAAATGCTGCTCTTGTGCTTTGGAAGTGGTGTGGCTGCCTAAGGGGCTTAAGCGTTTTGTCTGTTCACAACAAAGCTGCTTTAATACCAGAGGTGAAATGGTTGGTTTTCAATGTATCAACAAACGTGATTCCTCTTGTATCCTTCCTGAAGGAAGAGTAGAGGCTGGTTACAACCCTTCAGCTTCCCCTTTGTTTACACTCTGGGTTCAGGTGGCGCCAGGCAACCTCCATGCGTGTTCCAAGCTTCAGGAGTGGGACAAAGTAGGAATGTGAGGATAAAACTATTTTAATAGATTTCTGTTGTATGTAGTCTGCTTTTAGCTCTTCTTTCCGAAAGCATTTTTTTCAAGTTTGAAATCAAGTTATTTCCTGGAGCTGCTGTTTTTAAACGTACGGTACCAGTTTCTCTTTGCTTCCCTGCATGCATGTTTACCTATGACCTGCCCGTGGCGCCCAGCAACAACGCAAGGCCGCTGTTGCCAGGCCCGGGCCCGCCTGCCCGCGTTACTATGGCGGCCGCAGCGGCGGCGGTGAGCGGCCGGTCCCTCACCATGAGCAGGAAGAGGCTGCAGCAGCTGGTGGACGCCCTGGGCCACTCCACTAAGCACTGTGAGTCCCCCCATCCCTGCGGGAGACAGGCCGCCGGCGCTGCCTGAGCGGCTTTCGCGGCTGGCGGCCACCTCCCTTTGCCCTGTGCTCGTTCTGTGGCCTTGTTGACCACCCACCGCGGGGGGGGGGGGGGAGAATTCCTGCTGAGCCCTTAGGAATAGGGGTACGGGGTGGAGCAGGGTGGGGGGCATCGGTTTTACGGTGAGTACCTGAGGTGTCCAGGCCCTGTGGCTCCACTGTGGCAGGCATGCATTTTTACCCACTTAAGTGTTAAAATATGTTGGCTTGTGTTTTGCCTGGGCAGTTAATAAAAGTGAAGTGGAATGTCTGATCAAGCTCTTCAACAAGCTGGTGGCCGAGTCCAGCAGCCGCTTTGCTGCAGCCGGCTTTGACCGTAACATGTTCAGAGACGTTCTGCACAGCGCGTTTGGCATGACGGATGAGATGATGATGGACAGAGGTGAGACTGGTGGGTCTAAAAAGGGTGGAAGATTCTAGTTTTACATTGTTGACCTGATGAGCATACCTACATGAGGTAGAGCCATCTTGTTCCTGCAAAGACAGCAAAGGAAGAGCTGTGTTCAGGAGCTGCTGAGCAAAGGATATCTTCTTTTTTCCTTATGAGGGATAGTTTTCCTTGCTTTCCCTGTAGCTCACACGCTTGCGCGAGGAAGGCCAACCAGAGAGGCAGTTGTACTGCGTTGTCCTGTGGCTGTTTCTCTCCCAGCCGGTGTAGGGTCGTGACAGAAGAGGGCAGCATGGCGTCACTTGCCTCCCGGTGCTTCCACCGGGAGCTGCAGTCACTGCTGCCGGTGGACAGCGCTGTCTCCGCCCGGGGGGTCTTAGACAAGCATGCCTATAGAGCGGATGACTTCTGGAATAGAGGCGTTGTGAACGGCACAGAGGGGGCTAGGCAGACATAGAGGGAGATGAGAGTAATGAGCCAAATAACCCCCTGAAAATACAGCGATTTCACGGACTGATGACATGAGGGCCACATCAGCAGTTGCTGTGAAAATCTCATGGATGATATCTGATGTACAGGTATCTAGAGGAGGATATGAAGAGGCATTAGTCTGCCGTTCTTTTCAATTTCAGGCTGCCAGGAATCATCCCTTGGTTAAGCTTTCTCCTGTTGTCTAGCAGGAGGAGTATTTAAATACCATAAAATGAAAACTTGTTGCCATTTTATGCAACAAGGTAAGTGTGCCTTGGAAGATACCTTACATGGACACATTCTTTAAAATTATTTTAATGCTTACATGCAAAGGGCCTAATTTCAGTTTGCAAAAGCAAACCTATTGTTTTCCAATTCCAAAATGCTTGGCTCTGGGTGTAGGGTGTTCTAGTAGCCAGCTTACTAATTAACATTCTAAAATATGAATTATTATAGATGTTAGTTGATGCTTTGAATTATATCTGGGATTTGAAGTACTGTATTACTGACTGTATTAATAGTAAAGCTGCAAGATTGAAAGGTTCTTATTTCAGGGAAGGGAGAATTAAAAAAGATTTTTGGTACATGAAAGACAGGAGAAGGTTATTTTACTTTGTATATTTAAAATATTTATGTACTGTTCCTAGGGTTACTTTCTCTAAGATTTTCTGTGACTAAACCTAGTAATTAAGATCTTCTCCTGTATTGCAAATATGTCTCAGTGCAAGGGGTATTGTGATTTATTTGATTTACATCTACATGGAAGCATGCTTCCTGTTGTAGTTTAAGTCAGGAAAGAAACAGATCAAACAAGATGTCTTATCCCAGCAGGATTCTGGAATGGCACATCAGTAAACAAAGGGGTGAAATTTCCTTCGTTGTTACATCTTGGAAAGATCCAAGAAGGGTTATCATACCTTGGTCAAAGCAGAGAAACATCTTCAGAAAAAATACGGGGTTATATTTTCATTGAATTTAAGAAAATATTCCTTTGTGTTTCCCTATTGTATACATTTCAAATGTATCTAATACACTTCCCAGTGTTCCACACTTTTGATAGAGATAAGAACAGCTGCATCAGTGCGACGGAATGGGTGGAAGGCTTATCAGTATTTCTTCGGGGGACACTAGAAGAAAAGATCGAATGTAAGATTTATCTGTATGCTGGTATTTAGTAGTAATCATTGAATTTGTAATTATTACTTGTTGCTTCTATTAGAATTTAGTAGTTACTCTTATGAAGTATGGTGATTGAAGAATTTTCTTCTGTATAGCTTAACACAGTGAAACAGAGTTCTGAAATGGCTTCTCTGATACAGAGGTTTTTCTGTGTAAACTGCCATTATCATAGCTGCCACCTGATTTTGTTGGTTACAAAAACTAGCATTTGAACTTGTTCTACAGCACACAGTTTTAACAGATGTTTGTATTCACACACAAAATTAGAAAGAAGCAGATGAAGCTAAAGGGTAAGTTTGGCTACATAGCACAGTGTCAAGCCAACCAAGACCTGTGCCAACATTCATTTACTGGCACAATGGGGACACAGCAGCGATTGCATTTATCCCAGCAGTTCTTCAGCTTGGAAAAATAGATGGAAAAACTGAGTCTGTTTGTAAGATGGTCATGATAACATTTACAGCAATGATGGAGAAAGATGGGGGAGATAAAATAGCATGAACTCCAGAGTTCTAAAAATAAAAAAAAATAAAATTAAAAAAAAAAGAAATAGAAATAGGACGGGGGGGGGCGGGGGGGGGAGGAAGTAATAGAAAAAGGATAATGTCAGCATGTTGTTTCCATAGTTCCTGTGTTGTAGCAACAGCTATCCCTAATGTGTTAGATAAATCCATCTGGAAAGTGGTCTGGCATGTCACAGCACTAGGATGTGTGGCCAGGATAAAATTCAGTATGTCAGTACAACCACAAGCAGTAGAATATGCAGTCCTGCACCATAGCATATACTAATGTGTAGTGATACACAGTGTTGTTTGTCATAAGTGTACACCAGTACAGTTTTTCACTGCAGACATTGTCTTTGTCAGGCAAAAAACCCACAAACCTCTTGTGTTCCAAAACTGAAGAGGTTGGTTGGTTTGCTTAAATAAGTTTTGTGAGAGATAAAAGTGTATTATGTAAATTGTATTTACATAAAGTAAATAGTATTTACATAAAGGGTATTATGGTTGTGGATTTCTGATTCCATGAAGGTAGGAACAATTAGGCAGATAAGTGATAGATGTCTTTTCTGTGCTAGTACAGATGACTCTTCCTTTTCCTTTACTTTCCTAACCCAGTTTCTAAAATAACAAAGATGTGTTTTGTATGTGCAAATTCCTTCTGATACACAGCTGGTCCCTGTTGGAGACCAGAACCTTGTTTATATTCTAAATCAACAACTTCAGAGAAGTTAAAATCTGTAAGTTATTATGGTTTCTGTGAGCTTAAGATGATTTATTTGAGCAAAATTGATTTTCACTATGAAAGGCAAATAGGCAATGTATATGAAGTATTATATATGATAAATGTGGCTCAACAAATATTCTGTACAACATACAATTCACATTTTCTGTCTATAGGTAGCAGACAGCTTTAATGGTGTGTGATACAGTATGTATGAATTTAAAATTGGTTTATCTTTCAAAAAGACTGTTTTGAGGTATATGACTTGAATGGTGATGGATACATTTCACGAGAGGAAATGTTTCAAATGCTGAAAAACTGTCTTCTCAAACAACCATCCGAAGAAGATCCTGATGAAGGAATTAAGGACTTGGTAGACATAGCAATGAAGAAAATGGCAAGTATTTACTTATTGTGATACTTGAGTGTCTTTCAGACATTCATTAATTGAACCTTTGAGCATTCCTATCAGGTAACAAAATACTGGGCCTGATTTACAGTGGAATTCTGCACCTCAGAGTTAGTTATGTACTTGACAGAAACAAGTCTCCTAAGGAAAGCCAGATATCTAATCCAGATCTAATGAGTCCTAGTCCGGTATCCTCACATGAAACTTAATTTATTATGTGAATGTATTACAAACTTTGTATATAAGCTAGCATGCGTATGTGTGCATACACACATGTGTATGCCCAGTCAAAACAAGCCCAGTCAGAAGTGGAAAATTCAAATGCGTGAGCTGCGTTTATTCCAGTGATAGGCATCTGCAATAGCTTTATTATTAAGTAAATGTGTCTTAAAAATTGCTCCTGAAATGTCTTTTACCAATTTATATCTTCTATTAGAATAGTAATCTCAAGGTTATTAATGTAAAACATGTCTTACTATGATTAATTTAGGATACCCAGATCAGCCAGGAACTGTTTCAACATTTTTGTCAAATCAAGAAATATAACCTCCGTGCCTATGGTGGTGTTTAAAAGATCTCGCTTAAAACCAGATCTTGATGCCCAACTCTTTTAATTCAACCCTGTCTTTTCTGTTTTTCAAACCCACTCCTTTTGCACACCCTCAGTGAAAGGTCCATCTTATCCAAGGTTCTTGACCATGCTGAGTCTAGTCTTATGCAGAAAGCAAGCTATGACTGCAATTTATTCAGTTTTGGAGCCGCCTACATGCACAGCTTTCCTGCAGGCTGTTTCCAGAATGAACACCCTCATGTCTTGGGCCAGTCGATAAGTGAGCTGTGCTAGTCCAAGCACTATGCTCTAGACATAATGAATCTTCATGTGTGTAAGAATAAGTTATGAACAAATCATGTACATAATCCCATTTCAGTTTTTCCACAACATAATAAAGCTCTGACATGTGTTTGAAGGATGTCCAGAACTGATTTGGCTGCTGGGCAGTTGTCCCAGTAGGATATTGCTGCCCATCTTAACTAAACAACTGTTAGGTATCCAAAAATGCATTTGTGGAGTCCATCACTCAAAGTAGTAAAAATTGCTCTGAGTAATTGCCTGTAGGTACCATGTGACTAAGCATATGTCCAATCGCATGATACTGTTTTCATTGCAATGGACATGCTCATGCCCTGCCCTCCCTTGTGTTGAGGGGTATAAAGGTAGAGGGTACCCAGCCACTTCTGTTTCTCTGAAGCATGCAGTGGCAGGTTTTCTTGTTCAGGGATCTCTGCCTACATAGCTCCTTGCCTCTGCTTTTCCGGCCATTAGAACCTGTGGTTGCTGCACAGTCACTAGCTGTGATGGTTCCATGGCTTGATCTTCAAAAATTTTGATTTGGCCCTTTGCCTTGAACATTAATCATATCCACCCATCAATCTTCACTTAACACCTTAATTTTATATGGTTTAAAGAAGTACTTATGCTTACTGTAGCATTTGTTGATGTTTTAAGCTGTCATGTCAGTAGAAACAGGAGGTTTTCAAATTGTGGAACTGCTGAAAACACAAGGCTGCTTTTTACACCTCAAGGAATAGTCTGCTGTGCTGAGATTCTGCAGTACAAAAGAAGTGGACTGGCATCAGCGTACTCCACCATATGCTTCTGAGTGCTGTATGTGTAAGACAGGGCAGGAGTGTACTATAGAAACCACTAGGGTAAAGTATTTCCAGACTCTTGAATAGGATGTAGAATGTACTCATTATGTAAATAGATACACAGAATATATCCTAACATTTTCTCCTCCTTTTAAGTCTCCTAATTGTAATTTATCTCAGTGCCAACTGTGACTGAGATTTGTCCATGCAATTATCAGCTCAGCCTTTTCCTGTGATAAAGTTAGGCCTTCTCTGGAATTCTGTTAGCAAAGCCATATGAGATGATAGTTGAGCTTGCTCCCCCTTCTATGCCTGAGGTAAAGGCAAATAATACAGATCATGTGTGAGCAGAGACTGATGGCCCAAAGAAAATAATATTTTCATACTATCAAACTAAAAATAGAATCCATGTCAGTAAAACACCTGTTAAACAAAAATTGTTCCTACAAGTAATTGTCCCTTGCTGAAAAGTTCCCTTCCTTTTGTAGGACTATGATCATGATGGCAAGCTTTCTTTTAAGGATTTTGAAAAAGCAGTCAGAGATGAAAATCTTCTCTTAGAAGCCTTTGGACCATGTTTGCCAGACATAAAGGTACATCAACAAAAACAAAAGGGCAATACTCTGCTTTTGGTAAGGAGGTGAACATAGTATGGTATCAACTGTCATTACCTGGGGGCTGCTGAAAGTGATAAATGCTTTGGTTGTGAGATACGGAGCGAGGTATGTCAAATTGACCTACCTTTCACAGCACTGATGTTTCCTTACACAAACATTGGTACAAAAAAGCATAAGAACACAGTTACTCAATCTTTGTCTGTCCCAGGGCAGCAATATAAAGAATGATCCTCAGTAAACATCCTCTCAGACTAAGAAAATGAGATCATTCTCTTGAACTTCTTATGCCAAAGATCTCAAGGAATACAACTCCTTTTATTTTTCTTCCATCATCTCACTTAATACCTTGAGAGTTTTCTTCATCTCTGAGTGTGGCATGGCTGGTTTTTAATGACATCTAACTCAGCTTTTTTTTATTAACAATCCATCTAATTTGGGGTTGTTGGTTTTGGGGGGGGGGGGGGGGAGCCTGGGGGGAAAGATGCTCACTTCCATCAGTGTTAAGCTCAACTGTGGAGAGCATTTCTGCTCTAGAACAAAGAACTTTTTCCCATATCCAATAATAGTTATTCTATTTGAACTTATGTCATTTTTAAATACTAAAAGTTGTGCCTTCATAGAGATGTAAAAGCACAACTCTGAAATACGTGCAGTAGAAACAGAAACAGAGAAACAGAGGAGCTGTGTAATCCTGGTGAGAATGCAGCAAGTTTTCATTCACTGGAAACCTCTATATCCTGACAGCTCACCTGCATGGCAGGCTAGAAGACAGGAAGTCACCTTGTAGCCAGAATTGCAGGGGGCATTGTATCATGTCAGCTGCAAAGCAGCCGTTTCCAAAATACCAGACTTCTTCTGGCAGACTTGCCAGAGTTTGGGAAAAAACAGGGAAGTACTTGGTTTTGTACACTAGTGAAAATGCTTTTGAAAAGTTTCTGGACAGAATTATATTAGCTAATCAGCACAGAAAAATTACTAGTTTTCTGTAACCTTAACCTAGCAGTAGGTTCCATCCCCCCAGCACCAGTTCTGCTGCCCAGAGGTGGCACCTGAGCACTCCCACTCCAGGATTGTTACAACACAATGCTGTGGATATTTGTCCTATCACCAAGAGGAATGTTGCTCCTTTACATTAAGTCATAGCCACTTTCTGGCATTCCTGCTTGCAGCCAGTTTAACTCATTCTGCAGCTAGACCTTGCCCTCCATGCCAGATCATTCCTTGGTCATGTGTTACCACAGCTGAACAATTTCAAAGTTATAGCTGAGGGGAAATTCAGATTTTATGTTCTCAGTGTCTCTCAGTGATGACATCATTGATGCTACAGAATTTACCTTTTCTAAGGCAAAAAGCAAGAGGTATTCTAACTGTAAGGACTTGCACTGCTTACACAATTCAGTTCAGCATCCTTTCTGACTGTATTTAAATCCTTCAGTTAGTTGAAAATCAATTTTGGTTTTGTTTTTTAACAGAGTCGTATGGCATTTGAGCAGAAAACCTTCCGGGAAAGCTCGTAAACTGTTAACTCCCAGTGGAATACTGCTGTAAGACCTTTTTTTCTTCACCATTCTGCATGGTATAGTAAAAACAGGAACAACTTGAAACTCTTACTAAGCTTCAGTATTCCTTTACTGTAAAAGCTAATGAATAAACAGAATTTACTTCTATTACTCTACCTAAACACAGCTCTTCAATGGGTTATGAAATGTGTTACAGTATGAGGTACACAGGGAAAGACTGTAGTGCAATTGACAGTACATTATGATTTGTTCATTCCAAGAAACAACCTGATACAATTTTTAACAGAGAACTGGAAATACAATATAAAGTAATTTTATTATTGACATAAAAGTAGTATTTTAAAGTAAATCCTTTGAGGAAAAAGAAGGACTGTAGGAAAATGCTGCCAGCAGTATCTATATTCTTCTTCTCTGCTTTACAAGTGGTTTGGCTGAGCTACACTCTGGCTTTTCCACAGATGTTCTTGACACAGAATCTGCTACCTAAATTGGGAAGAAAAAAGAAATCTTAGTAAGCTGTAACCACTCTTTCATGCTAGTTTTAGAGTAAGGCCATCTCTCCAAAACTTGAGTATTGGGGGGGAATTTTCCTGCCAGAAAAGGGGAAAAAATAGCACCAGAGGCAGCATTGAATACAAGAGGTGAAAATCAGGAAATGGAAGTGCTCACAGGACCATTTTTGTATATTAACCACACAAACAAATTTCAGCTAGTCAGTGTTAAGTGACTAGTTTCAGCTAGTTAGTGTTTCAGCTACAGTGTTAAGTTTGTGTGTTATCTCCTCTCTCCCTACCAGAGGTGTTCTCAAAGGTTTAGTATGCTTTTGAAACTCAGGTACATGTTTTGACACAAACTTTAGAAGTGTATTTAATATAAGGGGTGTTTATTTATCAATTTGACTGGAGATAAGCTCTTTTAAATCAGTCTATTAGAGTCAAGAAAACTTTTTCATATCTTAATTTAAATGGAAAGTTATAGCAGGAGTGCTTGACCTGCTAATGGATTAATATCTTCAATAAAAGGTTATATAGCTTAAGACAAAGCTTCTCACAGTAGAACTTGTGGTTCTGTACATCTTTTAATTCCATAAGTAGTGTTGGAGCAAAATTACATTGCACTCTGACTTTATTATTTTTCATTCCCTTTCAATCAGAAACTAGGTACAAGTATCACACTGGATTCTGCAGGACTACCTGCAAAGTTATTCCTCCTCCCCATGTGAAAAGAAAAAGGTGTAGTTTACTAAAAATCATGCAGGACCATGCACTGACATTTGTATTTTCTGAAGTGTTGTGTCAGAGGTATGGAGTAGAATCGCCTGCAATATTCTGCATTATGGAAGAGCTAAACAGTAAGAACGCTAGCTTTAAGTGACAAATAAATTGATAATACTGAGTAAGTGTTGATTTCACTTTTCTTACAGTCTCTCTTTTTATGGATAACAAGCACATGATACTTGTGTTTGAAAACTTCTTCTCAGTGAGGGTGACGGAACACTGGAACAGGCTGCCCAGGGAGGTTGTGGAGTCTCCTTCCCTGGAGACATTCAAAACCTGCCTGGGCACATTCCTCTGTAACATTATCTAGGTGTTCCTGCTCCGGCAGGGGGATTGGACTAGATGATCTTTCGAGGTCCCTTCCAATCTCTAGCATACTGTGATACTGTGAAAATGAAAACATCAGAACTTGCAGAATCCATACCTCTTTCAACTTAGTTCGAATTAATGTCGCTGAGGTATTCAGTGAATCATCATCCAGATCTACTTTAGGTATTTCTGGTAGCTGTGGACCAATGACGACTTCAGCATTGTCCATACTTGCTCCAATGAGGGAAAACTTGGTACCTTCTTCTCTCTTCCTCTTACGTTCTTGCAGGCGAGTTGTCCGAGGCATAAACCGATTGATTCCATTATCAACCGGAACTGTCCTTTGCTGCATTAAGGAGTTTGGTGGAGTATGTTCTACTGGATGTGCATTTAGTGTTAGGGATGTGTTCTGACCAAAGTGCCCAGAAGTTTCAGCAGAATTGTTATCATACTGAGGAAATGTCAACAGGCTCTGACTGTGATTCCCACAGGGATACCCCATGCTGTGGGATACTCCAGGAGAACTTGCAAAGCAGGATGGATCCCAGCTACTGGCTGCATGTGATCCTGACGTACTCCATGGACGGTCATGCCGGGAGTTCTTTGGGACTGTCTTCTTAGGCCCCTCTACTTGTTTTAACACAAAGCAATCTTTAAAACAACAAAGGAAAAAAGCAGCTTCACTATTTTGTGTCATTATTAGTTCTAACACATAAAACCCATTTAAAACAATTACAGAAGCAATACCAGTAATAATCCATTCTCAGCCACCTTTCTGTGATTCTTTTTTCTCCCAAGTAGCATCTTCCAAGCTGGAGTATCCTGCCCTAGTCCCTCTGCTGGTTTGCAAGGGAACGCCTGAGCAGAATTATTTCCGCAGTTTTGAGAACACAAGGAAAGTACTTCTAATGTTGCAAATCAGTGATTTTTACCTCAGTTATGAGTTCAAGGACAGGCTGCCTTGCAACATTGAAAAAAAAAATAGGTGTTTTGATGTTAAAAATCAGTGATTTTACTCCCTTTCAACATCCTCATGCAACTAATAGTAGCAAAGTACACAAGCACAAAGAAGGAGAAGCCTGTGCTCAGCAATTTGCTGATTTCTCAGCTGGCCCAGGCTTCAGTGCTGCATGGGAACTCTGCAGTGCAGCAGCCCCAGTAAACCCAGTCCATTCCTGGCATTCCTCCAGTGCCAGTATGCAGGCTGGAGAAATTTTTTGTGAAGGTTCTGGAATAGTCCCCTTCCTTACAAACCTCTCCCTTTGAGCATGCCTGAATGAGCTGGAACAAAAGTGAAAAAGATGATCCCAAATTTCCTGCCAGTGCTTGACATTTCTGATAATATTTTGAAAAGAAAACTTCAATTATTAAAGCTCAAGCATTTCTTTTAGTCTAAACCAAAAATGAGAAGTTGCTTTGAAAAAGATTCATCCCTCTATATACTGAAAAATGTCTCCATTCTGCTGCAAACATACTGAAAATGCATCTGTAAAACAGTGTTAACTAGTTAGCTAGTTAAAAAGTTCTTTCTTTAATGGGCACTTCAACCAAAACCTCACTCACCCACCCCTGAAGTGAGATGTTAATATTCCACAGAAATTTAATTACAAACCTCTTTGATTTGTTGCTTTTGCGATGTACTTTCTTCTATCCTGCAACTTCTCCCTAGTTTCTTGGACCGTTTCAAACTCTGGAGCGTAGCACACATGCAGCAAATTACCAAAGAAGCTTCGTTCATCCATTTTTTTCTTGGCCACCCTGGAGGGAATTAAACAGAATTGGCAAAACTGAGGATTTTACTTCAACTCTCCAGAATCTTACTGGATTGTAAATAAAGTATAAAAAAAGATTAAAAAAGCAAGAGGCAAATACTGCCCTCTCCAGTACCTTGCACATTGCAGTTTTTGGAATTTTATCAGATAAACTTCAGTAAATTGCTCTGCTGGATATTCATCTAGAGCATGATACTCTTCAATGGCACCGTATAATGCAAATTGTTCAACTAATTCCTTCATAACCCCTAATGCAGGAACTCCTTGTATTAGTAAATAACGAGATTCCAAGTTGATTGTATAAACCTGAGTGGGGAAAAGAAAAACAAAAAACCGAGTATTACAAAATGTTCACATTATCGCTCCACTGCCGAAGTAAGCAATTTTCTCTGTTTTCTGTTGTTCCTCAGATGCTCTCAGGATGCTGAAACCCCCCTGTACTCTGTTTTGACTTCACTCTTGAACGAGCTCTCTTTCTCAGGCCAGTCCTAGAAGGTGCCGTTCAGTGCACTGTACGTTAACTACACACACAAAAAGCAAGTCCGCCACTCTCGCCGCAGGGCCACCTGGAGCCGCTGGGCACCAGAGCTTCAGCACAAAAGTAGCCAAAGCCAGCGGCCCTGTGCACATAGCTGCCTGCTGGCCATCACGTCTCCTTGCGCTGCTCTTCCTCTCTGGGTCTGAATTTCGCACGGAACCAGCCTACTCGCGCCACATGCATTTCTACACGATTAATTTACAAAACGTAACGCGGAGTTAGTAGGTTTACCAGACCCAACTCCAACTCTTCCTTCGGGCGTCTGCTGGATACCTGAGCCCTCACACCGACGCGCCCCGCAGCAAAGGGAGAATAGCTATAGCCACCAGAACAGGGACAAGCACTGAGGAGACCGGCGGCGCCACAGCTGGCTCAGCCCGGCTGAGCGGCCCCTGAACCCCGAGGGGCCGCAGCCACCCCCGGCCCTACCTTCACGGCGCGCGGCCTCCGCCCCTCCCGGTACTTGGCGCGCGACTCGCAGACCCCCAGCTGCGCGTGGTGCTTGCAGGCATCGCCCAGCCCGCTGCCGCTACTGCCGCTACTGCCGCTGCTGCCGTCGACAGCCATGTTCCCATCGCCCACCGCGCCCCGCTCAGGCAGCTCCAGCTGCTCGCCGAGAGACCAGTCAACACACAGAACTCTCATTGGCTCCCGCTGAGGTGATCAGCCAGACAGAAAGAGCCGAAGCCCTCGATAGAAAAGCCAATCAGAGGCAAAGGATGGCTATATGCCGCGCCCGCATTGGCCAGCAGTGGGTTATACTACTGTCTTAGGGGTTGCAGGGGGAATTTTGGGAAGGTCTGGCTCGCCCGCCTCCGAGTAAGCAGCTCCCAGCTCGGGCGGAGCGGGCGCGCAGTGGCCCTGGGCTGTGGCGCCCGGCCAGCATGTGGGGCAGCGGCAACCCCGGCGGAGGGGGAGCTGGAGCCGCCGCAGTGACGGTCGTCTTGAGCAGGACGCGAGACTGCTTCCTGCACTTGCCTCCGGTGCTAGCCTCTCACCTCCGCCTGCAGCAGGTACCGAGTCGGCTCCCCTAGGGGAGGATTATGGGAGAGCACCGTCCCTCTCCGTGTTCACCCCTGCACGGCATCCCGTTGCTATGGTAACACGAAGCGCCCCTCAGTCCTCCAAGCCACCAGCCGCGGCGTCGCAATGCTGGCAGAGCGCGCGAGCTTCCCCCGGCAGTTGGGGAACCCCCCCTCACGGAGACGCGCTGGTCATAGCAACGAGGAGCCCCGCCCCCTGCCCCCCGCGGCGCCCTTGTGGTGGTGGGGCCCGGACGGCCCCTCAGTGGCGGCTTATCACGCAGCCCACCCTCAGGAGCTGTTCGGTTCTGGCGTCCATTTCCTTAATAAAATACGGAGGGGACTGGGATTAGGCCACAGCCCAGTCTGGCACTGTGTCTCGCCACTGTTTTATACGGGTTTTCGCAATAACCAGCGTTAACTGAATTATGTGTTAGCTAATCTTTCTGGTAAGAGGTGAGGTGATAAATCCGAGCAGAATCATTGCTCTTGATGTGTGTCGATCTTTCACTATATATAGTGAATATATATATATATATATATATACAATATATATAGTTCCTGTACAGAAAGGGGTTCTTGTCGTGAGAAGTCCCATTAAGTGCGTGGATCAGGTGCAGGAAGCACACCTTGGGTTTTAAATAACATTTCACACATGAAAAGAGCAAAGCCTGCATGCGTCTCGTGTGCGGTGAGCAGCAGAACTGCAGGGGCTAGTGGCAGAACGGGCCATATGTGTTAGCTGTTGTTCTGCTATAGTTTCTGGAAGTTTTACAGGTTTGCTGCCAAGGGAGAAAAAAACAAGTGCAATTGCTTTGAAGTCTTGTAGTGTCATTCTGTACATACTAGGTTATGGTGGGTTCTTGATTTTACTGAACATGACCCACAAAAAGAAAAGTTATGATCTCCCAAATCCTAATAGAAATTGCATGTGAAATGAAAACTCTTGGATAAAAATGTTTAAAAGGGGATAAGTATGATGTCAATAGATTACACTGAGTAAATAATTTTTAAAAAATCAAGTGGAATCAAAAGCTAAATCTGATTGCTGAAGGTATTAGACATCTGGGTGACAAAATGATTTACAAAACTCAGTGGTGTATCAAAACTTGGGGAGGAGCTTTACCTGTATGAATACAGGGAAGAGCTGTAAATTAAATAATTATGTTTGGAAAAAGATTTTTTTTGGTGTAGATATTCTCTGAAATTTTTTACAGAGTTAACTGAAAAGTCAAATAATACTTGAAATTATTAGGCTACTGTTGACAGCAGAACAGAAAGCATCACTATGTTAACAAGTGCATCTGTGGTATATACACAGTGTACATTGTTGTGCTCGCTTGATTTTCATGAAAATAATCATTTTTGAAAAAAAACCACCAAAACATCAGTTAAGTGGTACAATGTAGGTTATAGTCTCTCTATGGAAGCTGATTGAGCATGTTAAGACTCTTCAGTTCAGAATCAGAAGAAGTGAGCAGTTCTGAAACAGATTGATAAAAATCATTTTGGTTTAAGTTGATGTGATTTGGAACTCACTTTAAATGTTCCCCAGCTTGTGAAAACACTCTTGGAATCTGTGCAAATGTTACAATGCATGTGAAATTTTAAGTATATGCTTGTTGTTCCTCATTTGGGAAATAGAAATGCATTGCTACACATTTCTGTAAGATTCTATGATTTCTTCGATACCATTAATACAGAAGAAGGGAAGAGGAATTATTTTTCTTACTTAAAAATAGTCCATAAAAATTAACTGGTTAACAGCTGAAACCAACACACACTTCTGTGTTGAGAGTTGTGCAAATAGGTAATGTGGAGAAGAATTCTAAAGGTGTTGGTCAGTAAGAAGTTGGCCAGTTTCTGGAGTTAAAAAAACAAATCTCATTGCTAATAGAAATACCCTTTACTAACCTGTTGTAAATGCTGCAAGTTATCGTTAGGGAATATTCATTAAAATGGGGCATGTAGTAGCCAGAAAATGTTTTTAAATTCCTTTGATCTGTCTAATTGAATATAGTTTGATTATCTAATAGTCATTTAGCTTGTTTGACATTAGTTTTACTTCTTTGAAACTTCATAGGGCCAAGCTGTGAAAGTGTCCTGTGGTCATCAGCCTGTATTTTTGAGCTGGATGGAAATCAGGCATCGAGGTCACCAGGGTGAAAATATTGCGGAGATTAACAGACTGTTAGCAGAGAAACTTGGCATTACAGATGGAGAACAGGTTTGAAGCACACTATTTTTTTCTTGTTTAAAGGGTATATTTTAAGACACCTGAAAAGGTAATTAAATAGCTGTGACTTGTTTCATGTATTTAGACAACTACTTCATTTATATCTGTTCATAAGAAAAGTTAATCTTCATGAAATGTCTCAAATACTAAAAGATTTGCTCATTGCATCACAAACAATAAAATATCATTCAGATAGGCTTATAGACAGGGCTTTGCAGGGCTGGTGCCACTATCTGTAGTGTCATTAATTTTAAGAATATACACTTTAAAGCAATTAAACAATTTGGAGATTATTTCATGAGAATATTTTGCCTCGAATTCCTGTTATTTTAAACTAATTCTTCATATTTCTTCCTGTTTGACTTACTTGAGGTTTAAATTTTTCATCTCTTCTTTCCCCCCCCTTTCAGCACATGTCTCTGTGTGTTCTTTCTCTTTGAAGATGTATTTATATTGGCCTCTTCCTCTTTGACACAGCTAAACTTTTTCTAAATGGTTCTTTCATTGGATGGAAGTTGATCCCCAGGAATCAGCAGAGCTTTCTGACATGGGACTATTAACATCACATTGTTTAATATATTAATAGGTAGAGATTTAAGCAAACAAGAATAATAAAGTATTACTCTACACAATGTTATTGTGTAGTATATTCATATACTCCTGTTCCTTCATGTGGAAAATTTTATTCAGCATAATAGAAAACATTGAAGAATGTGGCTCCAAAACAGTGTGTTATCTTACCTTGTTTACTTTTTTAGCATATTACCTCTGGAAATGATATATCTATTTGCAGAACTTTACTAGTTCAGAGGCAAGGCAACTACCCCTTATAGTTCTAGCAATTAATAATCTTCAAAAGAAAAACAGTCGACAAAAGTAACCTAAGAAAACCTTACCCAGCTGCTGCCTGGAAATAATCATCTGTACAATCAAATGAATACATGAACAATTGAGTGTTTTGCCATTGTTTTGGATTCAGGAATTGTGTGCTTGCTGTGTTTCATAATAATGTGCTCTTCTGTTGTCTCTAAATTGGAGAGACACCAATTTGATGGATGGACGACTCGGTGGATAAAGAACTGACTGGATGGCTGCACACAAAGAGTTGTGGTCAATGGCTCAATGTCTGGCTGGAGACCAGTAACGAGTGGTGTCCCTCAGGGATCGGTGTTGGGACCGGTCTTGTTCAACATCTTTGTCGCTGACACGGACAGTGGGATTGAGTACGCCCTCAGCAAGTTTGCTGATGACACCAAGCTGTGTGGTTTGGTTGATACGCTGGAGGGAAGGAATGCCATCCAGAGGGACCTTGACACACTTGTGAGGTGGGCTGATGCCAACCTCATGAAGTTTAACCATGCCAAGGGCAAGGTCCTACACCTGGGTTGAAGCAATCCCAGGCACAGCTACAGGTTGGGCAGAGAGGAGATTCAGAGCAGCCTGTGGAGAAGGACTTGGGGGTGTTGGTCGATGAGAAAATGAACATGAGCCGGCTTCAGAGTGCACTCACAGCCCAGAAAGCCAACCGTATCCTGGGCTGCATCAAAAGGAGCGTGACCAGCAGGTCGAGGGAGGTGATCCTGCCCCTCTACTCTGCTCTTGTGAGACCTCACCTGGAGTATTGTGTGCAGTTCTGGTGTCCTCAACATTAAAAGGACATGGGACTGTTGGAACAAGTCCTGAGGAGGGCCACGAGGACAGTCAGGGGGCTGGAGCACCTCCTGTGTGAAGATAGGCTGAGAAAGTTGGGGCTGTTCAGCCTGGAGAAGAGAAGGGTGCATGGAGACCTCATAGCAGCCTTCTAGTATCTGAAAGGGGTCTATAGGGATGCTGGGGAGGGACTCTTCATTAGGGACTGTAGTGATAGGACAAGGGGTAATGGGTTAAAACTTACACAGGAGATGTTTAGAGTGGATATAAGAGGAATTTTTTAGTATAAGGGTGGTGAGGCACTGGAATGGGTTTCCCAGGGAGGTTGTGAATGCTCCATCCCTTGTCGTGTTCAAGGCCAAATTGGACAGAGCCTTGGGTGGCATGGTTTAGTGTGAGGTGTCCCTGCCCATGGCAGGGGAGTTGGAACTTGATGATCTTCAAGTCCTTCTGTTTACCATGTTGAGGAAAAGATGTTCCTCTCAACTTTTGCTTCAGACAGGACCTAGAGGAGTTTAAAATTGATTCTTACTCTATAAAAGCTAACCTGAAGTAAATCTCTCTTATAGAACAGTTAACTAGTTTTATCTCAAGAAGAAAATAATTAAGTTTATTTTAAAATATGTGACATGATATTGTTTGAAAATCGTTACTTCCTGTCAAATAGAACCTTTGGTAAAAAATGACCTTTGACATACATGTTTAATGCTTTCTGGAAAGCTTTTATCATTCCTCCT